ACCCCAGGTCAAACGAGTAGGTCCATGGAGAGGCAGCTGTGCCTCTAACTTCTAGTAAGAGATAGAATCCATTAGAGTCAATCCCAAAAATACTAGCTTGGAATCTAGCTAATAGCGCAACACAGCTAAATTCCAAGTATCACTCTCACATGACTTGCAGATAAATCGAGCTGCATAAAGACAGTTACCTAGAAACTCTTCTGGCCATTCTCATTACCAGCAGAGGTGTCGCAAAGGTACCCCTAGGTACTTTGCCACGACTGGGTGGTATAAACAGTGAAGGCAAAATGACTACGCAGAGAGCACAGTAAGCAGGATGCTTTTTTTTTTTTTTTCCTCCAGGGTTAAGGCCTACATCTGAACTTACCTTTAGAAGAAATTCTGTGAATGTGAAAGTAAATTTTATATTTGAAGGAAGGCCAGTTCACATTTAAGTGAGTTGCTGGATCTAGGATCACTAGGATCCGCTCATGGGCATGGCTTCTTTGCCCCTCTTGTGAACCAGCCTTGCTATCCACCAGGCCAAACATTCTAATGGGAAGGCATATTCAGTACAGAATAACACGCTGCATGGTGGCAATCCAAAACCCTACAGCAGCTTAGTATGTATGATACTGCAAATGGGGAGGGGGGGTGACAACATTTTGGGTTGTACCTTGGAGCCCTGTGGTATTATCTCCTCATATGCAATTTAAAATACACACCCTGCAGACAGTGCATCAATTTCCCTTTCTATGTAACTGGTTACATTATGGCTCACTGATACGATCAGAGCTTGCGTGTGGTTCTCACTAGTTTCATGTTACCCCTCTCCTCAAGTCTGGAACACCGACACCAAACAATTTGCTCATTTACCTCACAGCAAAGGAAGCGGCGCTGCTGTTAAACCCCTCCCCTCCCCAAGTGCAATGCACCAGACACAATTTACCATACACAATGTACATTGCAGAAACTCTTCTTTTTGATGATAATTTTTTACAATAGTAAGACTCTTCATTATTTTATTATGCTCAATGCACAAGATTTTTCTTTTTTTTTTTTTTTTTTTAACACAAATCAGTCACCAAAGGCTGGTAATGACCGTCACATTATCTACTTCTTTTTAATTTAGACTTAGAATAGTGTGGTGAATTGAAGGGCAGAAGAAATTTCACAGTAAAGCTGGCTGGACTTTGGCAATGAATATCAGGGTTAGCTTAACTGGGGAGGAGGGAAGTTTTTAATAATTTCTATAGTTGGTATTGGTTTATTCCGCATAAGAATACAAATGTTTGCCCCTCTATTTAATAAGCCATGAGCCTGAAATGTATGGAGAATCGTATCTTTTATTATAATTTGTCAGGTGCATGTTTAATGTGTGCTACAGGGGACTCCTAATGTGACATGGGTAACAATAGCTGGTAAAGTAGAAATGGGAGTGTAAACACTGCGTGTGGGCATAATACCCCAAAACTGGGAAAATGCAAGATTTTTTTTTTTTTTTTTTTTTTTTTTTACAGCTTGGAGAGATCTGCATGAACTGGTGAATGCTAGAAGCAGCTCTGGATCTCAGTGCCAACCAAACAAGACTACGCAATACACAAATCCAAAGTCAAAAAAAGCCAGCCTGCCCTGTGAGGCCTAGGCTGTGTCAGTATGTAGTGCTGCACAACCGGCCAAAGAAAGGCAGCTTTCAACAAGATGCTCTTCACAGTAGATCTCTATCCAGAAAATTATTCATTCCAAATACTTTACAGTCTGGTATGAGGCATAAAACATTAAAATGTGGTAAAGTGCATAAATGGGGCACTTCAACAGCAAGACATCAGCAAAAGAACCCTAAAGTAAAGCACGTGTAGGTGCATACACTCCCACAGAACCTCTCTCCATTTTTTATCGCCGTTACAAATGCACACATGACTTCCCGTTGTTCCCAATTCCAGGCTGGAAAGTGCCACACAGTTCTTTCCACGTTTTCCTTCTCACATAGGCTGTATTACGCTGACAGCTGGTAACGGGAAAGCCTTGGTAGCTGGAGGAAGATCCCTTCGCTGTACCTGGCAACATGAGAAGCACACCAGAACGCTGGGGGGTTCTCTGGACGTGGGACCAGACCCCGCCACCATCCCTCCCAGGATACACCTACAAGTCCTCCAGCATTACCCTTCATTCAACAAAATGACTCTTTTCTCCCTGACACAGTTTGTCCTTCTGAGTATATACTAAGAGCTCAGTCTTCCAGGTATATATCCAGTTAAGTCCAGTGTTTAAAAACAAAGTATTCTGTTTTATTGTACAAATTCCTGCACTTTTATGAAAATTATTTTTTTATGTTTCCCAGCCATCCCAATCAATTCTGCACTATCAAAACAGATTTCCAAAGTTGTACGTCCCCCCAGCAAAGCAGCCACACAACTCCTAAATACAGAATTACTGCAGTGGAACATTCCACACTGCCATTTTTCTTATTTTTCTGTCTCAAAGAAGAACACTAAAAAAATAAACAAAAAAAAGACACAACAATGACAATTACACAAAGGCAGGTTAACGTGCTGTACTCAAGGCCAAGTGATCAGCACTGCACATCCTTTTAAGAGACACTTTCACAGTTCTCAGCAACTGAAGTAAACACTAGATAAATTCATTATGAAAAAAATCCATTAGAGAACATATTTTACTACTTCCCAGATTGGGATCATTTTTCCAGATCAGAAACAGAAAAAGCCATTTCACAAGAATTAAAACCTTCCATACGAAAATACGAGCTTAAGAAAAATTTTCTTATTTCTCAAGTCAAGGACAAGAAGCAATGTCTTTCCAATGGTGCAAAACACACCTCCAGGAGAACAAACTTTCATGCTACAACCAGAGAGACCTTTCATGCTACAACTACTACGTGAAGAGAAGGAGAAAACACTCACTCTGCAGTCTTAACAACTGTGATTTAGGTCAAAGTTGTTAATGAAAAACAAAAGGAAGGGCAGGGTAAGATCATAATACATAGTAATGCATTAGCTGACTGCATTACTGCCTAATTTTTACTCAGGGTTTGTGTGCTTTTCTTTTTTTCTTTTGTCCACCGAAACGAACAGGCCTCACTACGACTTTAGATCACCCTCTTGTGCTCTCCATCCTCTGAAATAGTAATGGTTAGGAAAATACTTTGAAAACTTCATTTCAGGAAGAGAAGCACAGTACTAAATGACTCTTAAGGAATGAATAATTACAATAGTAATTTCAACCAGGTATGAAAAGCACCATTAAAACAAAATTCATTGATCACGGGTGATGGGAGGAAGTTGGTGCTCCAATTTGATGCTCAGCAGCTAGGCTTACAGAAAACGGTTTATCAGTAACATCCAGTAAGTCGCCTGATGAAACATCCAGTTAGGCCAGAAGTTCAGCTGCCTGGGGAGGTGAAACAAGTAAAACACACGAAACTCCAGGCTGTAACTAGAAGGGAGGAACCCAATGCAAATTTATGTCTCTGGTATTTTGAGATCCATCTGTCTTACAGCAGTACCTTTCGTACCCTGGACATTAAAAGCAGTCGAAAATTTCAGTGGCTGCAAAAGCAAACCCTTCGACCTGCTCTACCCCACCCACAGCAAACCAACCGGCTAAAGTCTTGTGGACATCCCACTCCAGGCTTCAGATCTGCCACCACAGCCACACCTCCCCCAAGTAAATTCTTTCTCTGGCCTTCATATAATTGTTGCGATATTTGCAAGACACGCTCCCAATTCTAACAGGAGAACCTCCAAAATAATTTACCGGCTCCTGCAGAATTCTTGTCAAGAAATGAGGAACCGGCACACAGAGCTCAGGCATCAGCTCCAGAAGAAAATGAGAGAAATGCAGTAAGAAATCCTTTCCTAACAACCTTTCTGACAAAGCAGAAGCACAGAGTATGGTACAAATGATGCATGCGAGTGTATGCAGAGGGACACTGTACTTCAACACCACATTCAGGAGACCTGAGACAGAGCCATTTGAGACAGATTTTGGAAGCCATGTCACCAACAGGCCACACTGCAGAAACTTGGCAATCATCTTTCTGGAGGGGTGCCACCTTTGTTCATTAATTGTCAGATTTTATTTAAAAACAGAAAGCAAAATCTCTGCAAATTTCAGCTGTAACGAAGCAGTTTGAAAGACAAAGAAGGTGCACCTGCTGCAGAGATAACCACCTAGATTGCCTGAATAAGAACTCAGAAGCTTCTCCATGCATCCCAAGGGAGACCAAAGCTGAGGCTCAATGACAAAGAATGAAACACCCAACACTAACTACATCTCTGATGATTACGACATGAAGATGCCTCTCTACACCCAGCGGCACTTCATGTTTGGTGCCACAAGGAAACGGTACCCAGCTGCTATCACCTTCCCCACTTCTGACCCAGGAAGTCAGAAAGTCCAAGAATAATGTGAGCACCACAAGGCACACACAGCAACCTGCGTCCCAGAGGATTAAGATGAGCTTTTGTTAAGCACAGGCCTTGTCAGTCTGCGTGAAAATGACACTCTTCAGTCCCGCCTGCCAAGCTTCAGTACGGGATGATCTTCCTCCTCTAGCCGTCTGTGCAAATTCAGGCAGAACACACTTGAACCAGACAGCAGACTGCACCTTCAGCACCCAGCAATTCACTCTAAGGACCAGAAATACAGATTTTCTGTGTCCATGCAGAAAGAAATAAAAGTCTAAACTCAGTGTGAGTTCACTGACTCTAAGAGTTGATGCTCAAGACAAAAATCCAATTTCACACCCATCTGTCAAGCTGAATCTGCCCCGGCCAGCTCCAAGGCTCGGTGTTAGAAATGACAGCAGCAGCAGAATCAAATTCTTAGCGTCTTTATTATCTCCAGCGAATGGCATTTCCATTTGGCATCCATCG